GGCTGGTATATGTTAGAATCTTTGTGTTAATATTTTCAGGCAATTAAAAGTGATAAAGAGATGCTAGATAAATGTTGTGATCTCTGTTGGTTGAATCTCAGTGAGCTGATTGAGAACGGGCCGATTGGCTTTGTGTTGGATGAGCCGAATATCACGTGGGGGTGAACAGAATATCACATAGCAGTGAGTCGAATATCAGGTAAGAATAAGCCGAATATTAGGCAGTGTTGAGCCGATAATCTTGTTGGGATGAGCAAAATATCAAGTTGGGAAGAGACGAATATCACGTTGGGAAGAGACGAATATCACGTTGGGAAGAGACGAATATCACGTTTGGATGATCCGAATATCACGTTGGGATGAGACGAATATCACGTTGGGATGAGACGAATATCACGTTGGGATGAGACGAATATCACGTTGGGAAGAGACGAATATCACGTTGGGATGAGACGAATATCACGTTGGGAAGAGACGAATATCACGTTGGGAAGAGACGAATATCACGTTTGGATGATCCGAATATCACGTTGGGATGAGACGAATATCACGTTGGGATGAGACGAATATCACGTTTGGATGAGCCGCATATCAAGTTGGGATGAGCCGAATATCACGTTGGGATGAGACGAATATCACGTTGGGAAGAGACGAATATCACGTTGGCATGAGAAGAATATCACGTTGGGATGAGTGGAATATCACGTTGGGAAGAGACGAATATCACGTTGGGATGAGCCGAATATCACGTTGGGATGAGAAGAATATCACGTTGGCATGAGACGAATATCACGTTGGGAAGAGACGAATATCACGTTGGGATGAGACGAAATTCACGTTGGGATGAGCCGAATATCATGTTGGGAAGAGACGAATATCAAGTTGGGATGAGCCTAATATCACGTTGGGATGAGACGAATATCACGTTGGGATGAGACGAATATCACGTTGGGAAGAGACGAATATCACGTTGGGATGAGACGAAATTCACGTTGGGATGAGCCGAATATCATGTTGGGAAGAGACGAATATCAAGTTGGGATGAGCCTAATATCACGTTGGGATGAGCCAAATATTATGTTGGGAAGAGCCGAATATCAAGTTGGGATGAGACGAATATCACGTTGGGATCAGGTGAATATCACGTTGGGATCAGCTGAATATCACGTTTGCAGCAGGTGAATATCCCGAAGGGATCAGCCGAATATCACGTTTGCATCAGGTGAATATCACGTTGGGATCAGCCGAATATCACGTTTGCATGAGGTGAATATCACGTTTGCATCAGGTGAATATCACATAGGGATCAGCCGAATATCACGTTTGCATCAGGTGAATATCACGTAGGGATGGGTAGGATGAACCAAGTATCATCAAGTTAAGTCAACGCGAGGAAACAACACAGTTCAGGTGCAGATAAGCGTACACATTCAACAATCGAAATGTGTTTTTTTTTCCATTTTGACGGGATTAAGTATTTAACTATCCGAAATTGTCAATGGAGGGGTAGGGGGAACTCCAGGATGAGATCTTGTCGTTCATGCCTTGCAGGTGGATAGTTTTCAGATCAAAAATCTGTTTTAAGCTGTTGTATGATTTGATAGTGTAGGTCTCTGGTTGAGTGTCCCACGGAATCAAAGTGTTTGGTGACAGGTTTTTCCCTTTGGTGGTTGATAACGGCAAAGTGTTCTTTGAGTATAATGCAGAAGTGTCGTTTCGTTTCTCCTACGTATTGTTTCCCACATTTGGACCAGTTTAGTAAGAAGATTACGTTTCTACTTTTACAGGTGAAAAGCTGTTGGGATTTGTATTTTTTGCCTGTTATTTGGCTACTCTTCTTATCTATCCGAAATTGTCGTTTCTATTTTGCCAGAACGGGATTGGTGTGTAGGTCATATTTTAGGTGCGCTTTGATTTCGGAGTTGTTGACTGGCAACCGGTCACGTGACTGCCGATAATGAATGGCCGCATCCTGAGCAGCGCGTTCAGTTGACTATTTGCGTTTTGTAGCTGAAAAGCGTTTCTTCGCTTAATGAACGTCTTGTTTTGCCGCAACGTTTGATATCGTTTGACAAGGTGTCATGCAGTTGTCCAAGAAACCCGTGACAAATGCCATGACTTGCACGTGAAAACTGCTTTTCAGTTTCCCAAGAAAACGAATCACACATGTGTCAAAGGCCATCGATATCAGAGACCATATGGTCTCTTTCGATATCAACTCTACACAACATGTGTGAGTGAGTGATCATGCCACCCCCGGCTCCAATCGATACTCACAATATCGACTACTGGACCACCTGGCCAATACTTGATAAGTCAAATATTTCATATTCATTCATCAAATGAGCACAATCACTGAACTCCTTAAATATACTCTTACAAAAGTGGGGCGGTGGGGTAGCCTAGTGGTTAAAGCGTTCGCTCGTCACGCCGAAGACCCGGGTCCGATTCCCGACATGGGTACAATGTGTGAAGCCCGTGATATTGCTGGAATATTGCTAAAAGCGGCGTAAAACCATACTCACTCACTCACTTACAAAAGTAGGAGATAGTCGGAAATAACTTAAAATGTCCAAATTTGTAAGAGATATTAGTTTCCAGTAATAGGTGTATGATTATAATGAACAAATTGGGAACACATTGCAACCGGTAGTGAAAAATGACAGTAGATGTTATGACCGCCAACGATCTCGAAGCACGGTTGGGGTAGGATGGGAAATTTGAAAGTTGACGTTTTTTATCAGTCGTGCGTAATACCGCACGTTTTGTCAAACATTCATATGTGTCTCCCAGTGGCGATTTGGGTGAGTCTGTCCCACTCCTCTTGCAGCATCCGGTCAAGTTCAGTCAACGTGGTCGGCGGCCTATGACGTTGACGCACACATCTCCCTATTAGTGCAGCCGTTTCGTGACAGTTATAGGGTCAATTGTGCACTATGTGATAATTTCAACTTGAATTTTAACTTTTTGGAGAATAATTTTATGTTTTTGCTGGGCAATGCATCAGTTTTTCTCCCGTGTGTCAAGTATTTTAATAACGTTATTAGTTGAATTAAGCTATAAGTTGAATATGTGCCATGGTACTTTAGACAAACGCCTCCGTGAATTTGCAAAACAAAAACATGAGTTTTGAGCAAAGGAAAATATTCTCGCCAATGGGCAAAATATTTTAACAACGCTATAAATTAGTTGAATTTAGTTAAAATAAGTTGAATTATATGTCATGATGCTTGTAGACTTAACTTTATGTATTTGCAAAACAAAACCATGATTTTTGAGAAAAGGAAAATTCTCTTGCCCATGGGCGGCAAAGTTTAAAGTTTGATTTTTGCTTAGTATGTACCCATCAAAACTGCATGTTGAAATTCGTGAATACCCTTGACCGAGACTGGCAACAGCATGGAGAGTTTCTGGACAAATGGGTTTCCGGAATTAAAATGGTACGTGTTTACAGACCGCCGTCATGTAGCTGGATATTGCTGAGTGTGGCGTTAAACAACAAACAAACAAAGCTGCAGTAAGCACTCGAGTTGTCATAAACAGAATATGTTTTGTGCGAATGACAGTGAGTGAATGTGACCTTTAATATCAGTTACGAGTATTTCAAGATTTCCAAACGGCTGAGCACTGAACTACTATTGCTTTGAAGGACATTCACTCAATATATCACTACTTCACAGTCCATGGTTTGGAATGGGAATTGGGTGGCGTTGTACAAAGCAATCTCAGCGTAACCCCCATACCTCAACATACACTTACGACAGTCGTAGCACAAAGTTATTTTGTACAACGGCACCCTGGGCAATCCGTACCAAGTTTTTTTTAGGGGGCAGACTCGTACACAAATGTTGCATGGGTGCCTTCCTAATCGACTGGCTGACTCATACCCCAAAAAAGGGAATCTGTACACAGTGAATATCTTCATGAATTAGAAGATTATTCCTTTGTATTCTTACCTGTAGCAATGACCAGGAAATATTTGAAAATCCGCTTAGAAATTCCAATCGCAAATTGGGTGAAATAATGCTTTGAAAAAATTGCTGAGAAAGTGTCTTTGAAAGTGTATGACAGAATATGTGAATTTAGTGCTGTGAATAAATGATTACGAACATATATTTTTTCCTGTCTTTTCTGGTGAAAGCAATCCGGTTTCGGACATCTTGCTTTAAGAAGTAAATGGGTACGTGTCTACCAAATCTGTGTACAAGTCAGCCCTCTGACGGGAAGTTAGGTCCGGGTTCGCCATTTTCAGTTGGTACGAATCTCATTGGGAACGAAGTCTAGTATCCTATGGTCAGTATGGAATGTATATTGGAGATATTTGAGTCGTTTGAAACAGAATTTGATGACTACATAGTTTTCAGATGGTGTCACAGAACGTGGTAAAGCGAAAGAAAGGTTATTTGACTTACGAGGCCATATCCTAACAAATGCTCTTGAACTTCAACACTAAATGAGATAAAATAAAATAACAACTGAAAGCTACAGAAGAGAACGAGGTTTTGAGCTTTTAAATTTCCAAAATCATAGTAGGAAAACTGAATTACGAGAATTCATCTGCTATTACAAAAGTTGGATAGCTGGAATACCGGAGAAATGTTAACCTTTGGTGCATCCATAAACACATTGTCCAAAACCACACTGACCACAAGAGTGTATATAAGTGAACATGAGCCATTCAAAAAAGTGGTTGGCTTCATAGTGTGCAAATTCAGGGTTAGAATAAGCTCCTAAGAGATGATCAAATGGTTCAGACTTGGTGACTTTGTTGATGGTGGGTCATCGTACCGGCACCGCATGATTCATTGCTCACAAAATCTATCACTGGATTATTTGGTTTGATTATTTACAGACCGCAATCATATAGCTTGAATGATAAGTGCACCATTATCAACAAACAAATAAAAGACAATCCATACCATCAGGCACCTTGAATACAAGGGCTCTATTCCATACAGGAACTGACCATGTTGAAGAACAAAGACAAAAACAGCACATAGTTCATGAATGAAAGAAGACTTTATTCCCCTACAAATATAATCAGATAATGTGCTTACAAGCATATGTAACTGTTGCAATGGTCGAGACATTCATACCAACAGCTCAACACTTTAGAAAACAAACATTACCCAGAAAGCATATTTTGTCAGAAATCGTCAAAATGTCTTATACTTGCAACCCATGTAAAATAACTGCATCACCAATTCAGTTGTTACACATATTTTTGGATCACCAAAAAGACACTTTTTAAACATTTTCTTTTGGTGTTGAGCTTGGTATGAAGTCACTAGATTTACACATGTTTCTAAATATTCTTCACAAAGCCTAAAATCTCAACTGTTTTCTAAATATTCTATTATTACATGAAGATAATTTGAATACTTTACTTATATTCTATATACATTTATATCTAATAGTTTGTAGTTGAAATACACATGGTAAACACCTCTCAATAGTGACTAGCTAAATTCTGCAGTGCAATATACAGTGAGTTGTATCATACAATATTGATAACATACCTGGTATATACAAGGTATTCCACTTAAAAGCATTCCTTTCCCAAAGTACAATAAAATGAATTTAAATACTTACATCTGAAAATGTATAAAATTCATTCTAAGACATGAATGAAAACATTACCTAAAATACGATTCAAAATGAAAATATAAACAACTTAAGCAAACAATGAGGAAACAAATGAAAACAAACATGAAAACACTGTTTCATGGAAATAAAATGAAAGATTTCATTTGAATAGCATGCAAGTTTATAGTATGAGTTAGTCTAAATTGACACCTTTTTGCTGGGAATAATACCTGATTATCTAGTCTATGAGGACTGGATAATCAAGGTTGTAACATGAACTATATTCCTTGAGACTTTCTTTCATTAAAACAATTCAGCATGTTCAGTTCAATTCTATCCAACCAGATTAAAAAGCAGAAAGGTTGATCAATGAATACACCTGACAACTTTTACAAATATTTATCTGCAACATCTCAAACAAAATGACATCAATATGAATTTTAGTTAATCACTGAAAAAAATAATTTATTACAAGTTGACAGTACAATTCTGACCAGTCTGATATGGAACTAAGATTAGAATTATGCTCGCAGTCTCAGTATTACTTATGAAGAATTAATAACTGAATTCTATTTGAATCATAACTGAACACATTAAAGACAGAAATAGTGGAATGATCTCTTGAAGGGTTTGTTTCAACGCATTGAGACTTACAGAGAGATCACTTCGTATCTAACTGGAGACTTTCAGGTGAACAAATTAAGGTGATGTTTCATAATAAATGAGGGAATAAACACGAAAATAAAAGTTTTGTCTATATACAATCATCTGATAAACATGCAAATACCAACAAACCCTTTAAAGCATATTAAGATAATACTTCCACAAATAATATCTACAATTACAGAGTTGAGCAATGTAAGCAATACGTTTTTACCGTTAGCAGATCTAGAGTTTTCGGACATATTGAGAGAGGATGAACACCATCAGTAAATCAGTAACAATATTTAAAGGAGATACGATTGAAAGGAAGAGACTCCTTGTATTTCATAGGGTTAATGTTCACAAGGCTCAACAGACTGATAGTTTGTTCTCATGAACAAGAAGACAGAAAGAGAAGAAAATGAAAGTACATGAACATTATTTTGACTGGAAATGGGACCCCCTCATCAAGTGGAACATGCAATACAATGCATATTATTGTATCATATGAATTTGATATCTCTAAATAATGAGTCCTTACTGAAAACCTTTTGAGGATTCTGTGTCAAAACAGGTTCCCAGTAGCCAATGCTTGTCATGAAAGCCGACTTCTGAAGATTGGGTGGTTGTGTGACAACTGTCTGATCCTTTCATTTTCTTCTTCCTCTCATAAACAAATTCTTTATCCCTCAAAGTTCATTTCATATTGCTATATTTCCATCATCAAATACTTCACTGATTTACTTTATTATTACAAACCAAATAAAAGGCTGCTGAAAAACTATTTTGACTAAAATGAACAAAATAGTCAACAAAAATAACCATTATTCTCCCAGAAAAATACTTTTAGCCAACCTTGAATCACCACAAAGCTATACATGGCATAACACACTACTACCAAATATTTCGCTAGGGTTCTATCTCAACTTGGGGAGCTGCACACACATACACAACAGTTAGGGAGTGAAAAGGTTGAAGTGGAGGAACACAAAAGCCACAGACATTTAATGCCAAATATTTCTCATTATTGCTGTCAAAAAATTGCTTCATATAACAGGGCAATTTCTTGGGCGGAACAATTTTGAAAGTATTGGCATCAAGTGCATAAGACGTGATCTATTTACATCAAGACATCCTGGTCGCTTTTACAGGTGCTATTAAAGAAATCTGTACAATACAATTATGGCATTTCTCTGGCTCTTTTGTTAATTTCTTACTGACCATAAAATTACTTTTCTCTAAAGCATAAAAAGTGTGGCTCAAGTAATTTTTACATAATTTTTAGGACCTCTCTGAATAGCATAAAAACTAACATTTGGTTTGGATGATAGGAGTCTGTTATTTCTAGTGTTAGTGCCAAAGTTGACAAGAGAGGAACTAGGGCTAATTTGACTGAAATAAATTTGATGTTTTGAAATTATATCGAACATATTACTCATGCAAACGTTCTTGTGGATAAAATGTCCCATTTGGAAATATATCCCCTTTAAATACACAGGCTAGTCAGCTTTCAAGTTAAAATCAACTAAGATGCCAAATGAGGTCTGTCTTTGCATATTAGGGTGTCTGGCTATACCCTGATAATCCAACCTGAGTTTGCAGAAGAGAAACCCAATAGGTCATCAGCACTAAGACAGCACCATCAAATGGAAGGGGACGAAAGTCCAAACAGATGCAGGTCATTGGTCTTGGTGAAACCAAATGCAAAGGTATTATCAGTGCCGACAAATATATCTTGAAATTGAGTCTGTTGTCAGTACAGCTGAACTATCAACATGTCAGACTGTAATATTTTTGTTATCAATTTTGGCGGAGCGGTCAGTTCAAATATCTAAATACACGTTGTTGTTACCACCAGGAAGACTTTCCCTGGCAGAACCTAGTGGATGGAACCAGTACTATGGAAGGGACAATAGGTACTGTGATACCAGCATGCATAACACTCACATGTCCTTCCATCCTACAACATGTACAATGCAAGCATACACAACAACACTCAACATGTGCTGTAATCCTAGCATGCACACTGATCAACATGTGCTGCAATCCCAGCATGCACACTGATCAACATGAGCTGCAATGCTAGCATGCACACTGATCAACATGTGCTTCAATCCCAGCATGCACACTGATCAAAATGTGCTGCAATCCTAGCATGCACACTGATCAACATGTGCTGCAATCCCAGCATGCACACTGATCAACATGTGCTGCAATCCCAGCATGCACACTGATCAACATGTGCTGCAATCCTAGCATGCACATCGATCAACATGTGCTGCAATCCTAGCATGCACACTGATCAACATGTGCTGCAATCCCAGCATGCACACTGATCAACATGTGCTGCAATCCCAGCATGCACACCGATCAACATGTGCTGCAATCCCAGCATGCACATTGATCAACATGTGCTGCAATCCCAGCATGCACATTGATCAACATGTGCTGCAATCCCAGCATGCACATTGATCAACATGTGCTGCAATCCCAGCATGCACAATGGTCAACATACTGGCACTGCATACTTCTAAATTGTGATGACAACAATCAAGGCTTACTCTGAATGAACAAGGGAACTTTCCTTAATTCTCATTTTTGCAATAAAACACCTTCATTAGATATTTTTCAAGTGAAATGTGAGTGGTTGAGGGAATGCTTCGTCTAGCAATAAAATCAAAATCTGCTCTATTCTTGAATATGTTTAATATGTATCTGTAGCAAAATCAGGATTGTTTTCGTAAATATGAACATGTGTTTTCTTTACAGCAAACTCACTATAAACACAGGTAAAACGACTACAACTAAAACATCACCTTTCTTTGCAATGTCAAGGAACTTATATGCAGTGACCTTATATCCCCAACATGTTTTGCTCAGTATATATCTGTAGTTGTGCTACTAGTCACCTGACCAGTTACACATTGGAGCTTGGATTGAACAATTTCTTGGTTTCCCTTTAATAATGTTTATGTATGTTCTCAGGAACAATCTTTTATTTGACATGTTAATCTAGTTTAAGCCTTGATGTGTAGTCGTATCACGTGTCAATTCTACAATATAGTACAATCTAGACTCAGCAGAGGCTCTAAACTTCTGTTAACTAATGGTGGAGAAAATACTTTACAAATATTTACAAACTTTGCAGAGAGAACTGTCATGGTGATGTGAGATTGTATTGGGGCAACCAGTGTACTCATTTCCTTCAAACTTATAACAGCACTTTCTCCACCTGCTTCAAGGCAACAAACATCATTGACTGTTCCTTTCACAAAACACAAAGCTGAACAATGTGGATACACAGGGAGAAAGTTGTTTCCTTAGGAATCTCAATGTGGTTTATGGATCAACAATCAGCAACACGTCAGTTTGTGCTCACTGGAGGTGAACTATTTCTGCTAAGGGTCTATTGTTACACAAGTGCAGCCAGGTGAAAAGTCATGTGCGTGGGGATCAATTGTGCCATGAAGTTGAGTTAACAAATCCAGCAAAAAAACAGTTTTCAGGAGTTTCAAGCATCTGAAGAACCATTTCCAAGTCATCAAAATTCTAGTGATTCCGACAGTCAGGGAGGACAAATGCAAAGTTAATGGAATGCTGACTTGAATTTACACCCAACCAGCCAGAGAGTAGGAGTCAATAAATAGACACAGATACAGCATACATCATTTGGCATTACAGTGTTTGAAGTTAAGGGGAGTCCTTGGGTCCTTGAGGTGCGCTGCTTTTGAATCTAGGGAGCCCCTAAATCTTCACATTAAAGTCATGACAAGGACCCTTGGGCTTCCCATCTTTATTTGAACACGGATTACATGTTATTTCTTACAGTGCTTGAAAGAAGGCAAGTTTGGCAGTTATGATGTACAAAGGTTGGTTGAGAAACTATCAATGGGAACATGCATATATACATATATATATATATATATGTAGGCCTCAGGTCTATTGTGGGTCTGAGGCAGATGTCTATTTTGTGCCAGAAATTAATTATCCCAGTGTCAAGGTCATGCTGAGATGATGTCATTTAGCTAAGACATCATGTTAATGTCATTGAGAAATGCTGGTTCTGTCTTGTTTCCACTTCACTATCAGGTCTCTTAGGCACCTACTGGTATTGTTACTTGGAGCTAATAGTGTTAACCACTTTGGTGCAATCAGGGCATCAGGGCCAAGGCCCAGCGAACTGGGGCGCCTTTGGCGACTGGCCCAACCGTCACCTCTTTTTATTACTTTGAAAGTTGTATTCATCTAAAACCTCTTCATTGTTTGTGGCCATCTAGAGTAATATCTACAAAGATGCCAGGGATCCATCATAGATGTGAGTCTTACACATAGCAATACATATGTGCTCACAATACGTGACAATAGGGTTCTCTCACGTGACAATAGGGTTCTCTCAAGTGACAATAGGATTCATGTATATCTACAATGAATAAATTTATCCACATATTAACTACCTCTCTGCTACTAAAACTCTATATCACCACTGCAAAAGAACATTACTAAAATATTGAGAAAATTTAACTATTTCAAGGAAAACACCTTAGACCTCCAAGGTCTTTGATCCGTATCATGTTCTGCAGAAGAGATATTTCAAAGAGGTCTGTACATTTTACCTCTGAAGTGAAGCATTTGGCCATGTAAAATTAAAAAGAATGTTTCTAATCAAATGCATATTTCCAAAACAGCCAGTCATCAGACATTTTCTTTTTTATTCTCAGTACGTAAAAAATCTACATAATCTAGGCACAAAAAAGATAACTCTTACATTAAATTCTGGACAATCTGAAATTGATAACAAATTTACTGAAACCACAAGTAGTGAAATACACAAATTGTTCAAATGGCATGTTTTAATGAGAAACCTATATTTCAAACTTTTCATGGCCTTAATAGCTGGAAATCAAGATTGACATGGTAGGTATATACTTGTATGCATATGTCTTGTCTTGATTTGCCTCAGTGAAGACTATCAGGTTTTGCATAGCAGAAAATATAGAAACATAAAACATATATATGTAAGTACTATGTACACCAGCCCATGGTTGTAGTTTATCCTTAATTCATATCATTGGCTACTAAGGGATCAATAATTTTAGACATTAAAGCAAAATAATAGACATACTTAACTCAAACAGACAACCATTTCTCAACAATAGTGTTCATGTGGTTATCCAGATTCAGAAAAACAAAGAACAACTTAAATATTATCACATGATACTTATGGAATGGAAACATTTAATTATGAATTTTTACTTTACTGACTTGTATGTGAAAATGTAGAAATGTGTTTAATTGGAAAGACTTCAGTGTGAACGACCACTTGAGACTATAGAACAATTTAAACCTTTAATCAGCAAGTGTTTGAATCCCCAACACACCTGGCAACCTTGTATTAAACATAGGGCTCTTGATCTTAACTGAAACTAGCCCTTCTGGGCTTTCTACCATGAGACAAGAGGAGTGAGCTAAATTATTAACTGTTCAATCTGAAATACATCATTACAGACATTGATGTTCACAAGCAGAGGAATCAAAGATCCTTCAACTGAGAAAACTGTATTTTCTATATGGTGAAAACTCACTATTAAGATGTACTTTGTGAATGTGCAAGTATCTTTAACGGGACTTTGCAATCCCGTGAAGAATGAGAGGCCCCTTGACAGGAAAACGTTTCAATGCATAGAGCCATCAACAGACAGATCATCAGTTTTGGAGGCCAGACCAAGCTTCAGTGTGAGGACAAGCACTCTCACTGAGTATTTCAAGAAAAACAATTGCACAAGAGGACTGTCTATTCCAACTAATTCCAAGTGTGACTAAATCAGCCTTAGTAGCCATGTTTGGATAGAAACCATGGTAGCATTAGGTATCCTTACCACTAGAATGTAACCATGGAAACACTAAGGATCCTTGTGACAAGAAGTAACCATGGAAACACTAAGGATCCTTGTTACTAGAAGTAACCATGGAAACACTAAGAATCCTTGTTACTAGAAGTAACCACAGTAATACTAAGGATCCATTACACTAGATGTAACCATGGTAGCACGAACGACCATTGTTTCTAGAAACAAACCATGGTAACACTAAGGATCCTTGTTACTAGCACGTAACCATGGTAACCCTGGTAAGTAGTAAGACTAAGATCATTATCTAAATACAGATGAAGGTAGATGTGTGTGGCCTCATCACTCCAACACCTCCAGGTATGTGACAGGCACCTTCCCTCGTTGAGAACCCCGCTCAGCCATCAGCCAATCATCGTCAAGACCGGCAACTTTGTACACCATAATTAGCTGCAAGTGGGACAAGAAAAGGTCAGTAATCATTAAACACGTAGGATTGATTAGGAACAGTTGTGGTACTTCCTTGATAACAGAATAAATATTGATGTTTCTCATAAGCCTTATTAACATTAGAATGCTCCTGCTATTTTAAGAGTGTGTGTATATGTGTGTGTTAGTTATTTACGGTCACACTTATCAATATTCCACTATTATGTCAGCAGGCAATCCAGTGACTGATATTATGAGCAGTGACCACTGACATGCAATCAGCCAAGGGACCACCTGATCCAATTAGTCACCTCATACGACAAGCAGAGGTTGCTTGGGGCGTATTCTAACCTGGAATGACCGTGGGTTTCACTTATTGGTATGTCTCCCATGACATTCCTATGTGTATAATCATATCTATAATCATCTTTAACCAGTCAGTCTCCATAATGTAACAGATACATCACAGAAGCTTGTCAAACAAACCAGTGGTCAATAATGTGAGCACACTGTTGGGCACAGTGATCCACACTTGACACTATTCTCTTCTGAAATGTTTTGTTTATTGTTTATGCAGCACTCTGCAATACATTCCAGCTATGTCCCAAAAAGGTTCTTCAGGCAAATAATACATATTGACACTATTCTCTTTAAATCTAATGAGAATATTTGAGTATTTACACATGGTGCATATAAGATCACAATGATTACTTTAAGTCAATACATGAACAGCAAAATATTGTTTTGATATTATAACTATTTAAGGCCGCACTCAGCAATATTCCAGCAACATGATGGTAGCCTGAAATAATCTTGTCTGGACCAGACAATTCATTGATTGATATTATGAGCAACTATCCACACCATTGGGTATGATGACACGCCATCAATCAAGCCACCAAGTCTGACCACCCCATCCATGAAGTTGCCTCTTACAACCAGTATAGGTTGCTGGGGACCAATTCTGACCCAGAGAGACAATACTTCGACTTTGTGGGCTGGCAATTAGGAGCCTCACTCTGGCAGTGTGGGTTTAAATCCCGGACGGGACTCAACCCAAAAAAGTACGAGAATCTGTACTTTACTAAGAAAGTGTTATCCCAAATATAACAATTGTTACAATACTTCGGCAGGTAATAAATAAAAGTATCAAACCTTACTTGGCATACACAATTTGTGTAAGTGATATACCAGTTTCTATTGAAGCATTCCTATCATTAAAAAGACAGTATGTATATAACATGTATATAAATGATTTTGTGTTTCTACATATGAAAATAATTTCTTAAGATTTTATGATTTTGCAAATAATTTCATATTCCATCATAGTTAGGAAGGGACTGGTAAATTATTGTAGGGTAGAGTAATGTTTCAGAGATTTTTTATAAGCTTCTAAAAATTTCAAGAGTGCCCTCCCCCTCATTGATAGTGTTAGGTAAATCCCCTTACATATGTGACCAGTCCCTATCTCTAAGCCTGGAAGGAAAATACAATATCAATGAAGGCAACAACCACAGAAACACCAATACAACATTTACTAACCACTGAGAAACAGAAAATGACAAAATAAATTGACATAAATGAACAGCTGCTAGATAAATATCAATAACAACAGGTGATCAACACACTGAAACTTTCATGTACACATTGTATTATTTCACTTGTGATTTGTATTTACATCTATGATCAGATTGTATTATGTATCTGCAATTCACATTGGAATATTCACTGAAAAGGTGGAATATATACTCACGAAAGCAAACATTTGACAAGAAAGCAATTCATGAATTCCAAGAAAGTTGAACATTTAAACATACTTAGAAATGATACTGAACCATGAAGAGTTATCTCCCCTTGAAAGGTAATGTTACATTTTTGAATTGTGGAGCCTTAGACTGCTGCACCCCTTTGTGTTTGCACTCAACACTCAAGACTGATGTTAAATCCACAAATTATTGTCTCCTGATACACAACATCAAGTGAAAATCTGTATTTAACATTGCCTGTTACTGCTTTCATTATCTTTCAAAACTATATTTAATCATATTCAAAACAAACAAATAAGATTATAGTGTGAAGAACATCTCTCCTAAAGTAATACACAATGACCTGCCAAATGAAACTAGGGAAGAACTTGCTCTTGTACAGGTGATGAAGAAATGAATGTACATCCTCCACCCCTTCACACAAAGCGCGCTTACTCATTGCCCAAGATGAAGATCAAGCCAAAGAACAATGTTGAGGGTACAGTGTCCCAGTTGGGGAATGCACTTTGCAAACATTGTTGGCCAAGTTCTAAGTTGCTGCTAGGTTTGGCTGTTCAACTTCTGGCTAACGTAACCTGCACAGATCCTATCAATGTTTGTGATACTTTTTCTCTAAAAATGTGTCACTAAAATATTTAAAGGTTCTCATCCACATAATGGAGAAGATTGTTTGTCTCAACCTGTTCCGTAGATGTTTTCTTTCAAGATTATCAGCCATAACTCTTTCTCATATGAATGTTCTCTCACAAGCCCATTCACTCTGTCAAGAGGAGATAACCCAAACAAGAAACTTATCCAACACACAGTCATACCTCATCGGCCAATAATGACAACTCAGTACTATCTGCCGCGTCGTAGTCATATAATACTCGGGCCTGTTTTTTCTCAGTTGGAGTGGGTGCTGTGACTTGTATTGCAGGGGGTGCAGAGGGCATCAAGGGGCTGTTGGAATTTGGGACACTGGAGGAATGCATATTAGAGGGCGCCCCACCACCCATGCTTGTGGCTGACCCAACAGAATAACTGAAAGATAGACAAAACCAAACATAACAAGCAGACCAGAGACAGGCTGATGAATGCTTCGCAGTCCCAGGAAGATGGACGATGACTGATGGTTTCGTTGTGATTTCCGCATGTTAAACAAGATGAATTTTGTTGGATTGGGTGTGTCATTCAATTTGGAGAAATATAAATTTGGTGTTAAGGAATGCACTAAAGAAACATAAACTGTGCAGTGAAAGGACCTAAAGATAGCATTGTGGTAGAAACTAATTTGGTGTAGAATGAATGAAGGGATGCAGTTTGTCAGAAGTGTGTCCCTAACTACTTCAAATGCAGAACATACGAAACAAACTGACTATGCCTCTGTGAATGTAAAATTAACACCAATGCTTTGTCTTATGTCAGGACAGCCACACTCTTCACAAATCAGAATTCTTTACTTTTTCCAAGTGACAGTCAACTGACAGTTACAAAACTTCTAAAGGAAAGTAAGGCAAATACCCCAGTACCATCTTTTGAATCCGATCTTTTAAATGGATTTTCTTGCTTTCCACAGTTGGTTCAAAACTTCTAAAGAGGATTAAGGCAAATATCCAAGAGCCATCTTTTGAATCCAGATGCTTGAAATGGACTTTCTTGCATTCTATACACTTGTTTCAAAACTTCTAAAGAAGATTAAGGCAAATATCCTAGTGCCATCTTTTGAATCCACATGCTTTAAAATGGACTTGCATTCTACAAATTTCTAAGATGTCAAGAATGCCAAAGAGAAAACCATATTCTGATTTTCAACAGTTTGACAGAAAATGTCGAACTACAATGACTTGCTGTGGTCAATTTGTACAGTACCAGCACTTTAGATTTCTTCAGGATTTCAACCTGTTTAGAGTTTTCTTTGGAAACTTCCATGCAAATTAGGAATCAATGCAGTTGAGTGCAATCAGCTTGCTATACCTTCACGTCCCTGATCCCCTTATCAAAGAAGCATGGGTGGTGTTGCTTAGAGGACTAGCAGTTGGAACGTAATGAGCAAGTTATGCAGGTTGATAAGCTACAGAAGGGTAAGTGTGCCAATGTTGTCAAAGGTAAACCAGAATTCTGATTGTAAAAAAAATAAATTTGGAAATATTATTTTAAGTTGAAAAAGGGTACAATAGAAAATGACCAAATTGGATGTCTTCATGTATTAATTACATAATTTCTCTGAAACATCAATAAATTCAAATTTGACTGTCATTTTGTGTTGTTTTTCAGAGGTATCCAAGATGCTGAGAATCAGAAACAATACGTGCACTGAAACTTCCATTCACTATATATCTTTTAAAATGAATGACACATTCAATCATTAAAAAAACTGAGTTTTTTTAACAAATTGGGCCAATGTTAGTAAGGCAGACATTATTTTCTACAGGGAAATTAAGCAGTGTGATCTAAAACTGCAATTTATGCATCTATGTGCAGAAACTGTACAATTCAAAGGGAGACAACTGCAGTGCCTCTACAGGGAAGAGTTATCCACCTTTTTTGTGCCTCTGGTTCTAACTATTTCTACAAATAAAGAAAATTATACTACACCAGAAAAGAAACTTGGACATTAAATAAAGGTGCAATAATGATGTAGATAATGTAATATATTCTACAAAAATAATAGTTCATCTTGATGGAGGAGTTGTTGTCAGAAGGAAATTTCATGTATTTTTCCAACAATGTGACATTTCATTATAACATAGAATATATAGATATTTTCTGTTACAATTATTTTTGACTCTTGAAAATTTCTCTCTGACAGTCAAATGAAAATGACATTATGATAAGTCTGACAAAGACAAATGTTCCAGATATCTTCATGCTCAAACTACAACATGTTACTTTGGGCCTCAAGGCCACCTCCGTGGACTTGTTGACAGTGTGTCTGCCCATAGAGTGGAAAGTTGATCGTGCGATCCCCAGCTGCATCATACCAAAAGACCTAAAAGAAGGTACTTGTTGTTACCCTGCCTGGGGCTTGGCAGTAAGGAAATAATAAAATATTCGTCAGCTCAGAGTCAGTGTACTGTGTCTGAGTGGGGTGTACAATTTAAACATGTTATCTCAGTGGGTTAGCACCATCAAATAGGCATTAATAGTCAAGACTAGCAGCCCCATATTAAATTATTGATGCTGATGGCTGGATATCTTTTCCAGATGTTAGCTGATTTTTCCAGAAGAAAGTTATTCCTGAGATCTGGCAATAGCTTAGTCTGGGCCAGGCAAACCTGTGGTTGACCAGATTTCACAGAACATTATTGGACAGTTTTACCAAGTTTCACACAAAAAAATTCACTTTTCAGTGCTTGGAACTTGTAAGCGTAGTTCATACTGATGAAGTATAGTTTCCGAAATGCAGCTCAGACTCCTTCAGATTGATGAAGTAGAGTTTCTTAAATGCAAGTTACCACCCCGAAAGATTTGTGAAGTATATGCAGTCTGTGCCAAAAAGTTATGTGTCTCCTAGTCTGAGGTTCGTTCTTAGCATCATTCTTAGTACGTTTAGTTTTATCATACAGATGTTTATTAGCTGAGCTTACTAGACCAAACAGCACCTTACAAAACTGGGGCTTCGGGCTGGTGCCTAAAGTCTTAGACTGTATACATTGTATAGCTCCTTAAATACAAGTTAAGATGTTTCCAGACTGATAAAGTATTGTTCCTGAAATTCAGGTTACAAATTCTACAGAATTTTGAAGCATTCTGGAACACATGTCATCAGAAATCCAACCCACTATGCAAGATGACAAGGCAGGTTTCTAATCTAGGACAACACAAGCAAGCAGACGCTGGGCCCTTGTTCAGACCTCTTAACACTGAGAAAAAAAACAAGTAAAAATTAATTAGCATAGGAGCACTGATATCAGAGAAGTCCTTCAATGGCTCAATATCACCAACCTCAACAATTCAAACACTCTTAATATTCACATGTATTAAAAAGAAAGGTAATTCACCTAGGTATTCATATTAGAGATCATCTATTTTGAATCACAGCAGCTCAGGAAAACATATAGAGTGAAAGAAATTTCTGTTGCGATAATCACGCCCTTGAAGGATGTTCTCTGTGTGCTCGAAGCTGTCCACGTTAACTGACTGATGCACTCCTACCAATAAGTTGGCAATAACACAAATGCAAAGATGTAAGTTGGCTCTGCTTACTCCATATCACCACTAGGAGGGGTGGCTGCTGACACACTGAAAACAAAGGCATGGGCAGAACATGTACAGTCACATATAGGCCAGTGCAGCACAGGCTGGGTGTCCATCGGGTAACAGAAATGAGTACATTATTGGTGAGTGGTTAGCAGTGCATTGCTTGGTGCACCACATACCCTAACACATCACTTTGTGTCATGTTCACAGATCTTGAGCGTTCTAAAACTTGATGTAACTCTTTTGCTTTCTGAGACAAATATAATCCTATTTTTCTAAATATTTTGTTGGTAAGACTTTCTTTCAAATATAGCTGGTTGACGATAATTGAAAAAAACGCATATTTTTTAAGTGATGTTCTGTAATGTGATAGGTGCTGCTTGAAATGTTTCTTTAAATGGCAAGTGTTTTGTTTGTTTGTTTGTTCTTAAACACCGCACTCAGCAATATTCCAGCCATATGACAGTGGTCTGTAAATAATCGAGTCTGGAACAGACAATCCAGTGATTGACATCATGCGCATCGTTCTACACAATTGGGATTCGATGACATGTATCAACCATGTCAGCGGGCCTGACCATCTGATCCTGTTAGTCGCCGCCTATGAAATGGCAAGTGAGTGAGTGTTTATTGCCTAATACTGAATCAGTAAGTTAGCAGCATTTTTGTTTCCATCCAATATTGATCGAACATTTGTTGAGGAGAAAAAAAGCCCAGTTGCCATTTTCTGAAAGCCTTGTGGCGCTACTACCTACTTCCCCATCATTATCTTCATAACTACCTTTTCCCCTGCTATTTGATACAAGATTTCAGAAAAGGAAGCAGACACATGGAATCTACCCTACAGCTAACACCTAGAAAAGAGGGCATGGAATTCATCCTGAAAGGTAAAAATCGGAATTATCCAAATCAGAAACCTTTTTCATAAAACCAGCACATGTATGATAGTGTTAAGAAGTGTGCACATCACACGACACACCATCCAGATCATCCTCCCCACACCACCAACAACCAGACATGTTACCATGGTTACAGTTTAGGGAAGCTATGACCTGACTTACAACTTTATTTGTTATTAGTTGGTTTACAGATAATTGTCCCAGAATTGTGAACTGTGACAGGGGTATAAAATATTAACAAGCATTTTTACTGCAATAAAAAACAAACATGGTCCTGGTGAAGCTACCGTATATAGTATTTCAAAGAATATTTAAAGGTAAGAGAGCATGTATCATTTATCTAGGTCAGACCTGGCAGTTACAAAACTAAAAAACACTCAAACATTATTTTGATTCCACGTTCCTGATTTTTAGAGTCTGCAGATCTGTAAACCAAATAATAATAAATAAAAGTAGGTCATATTGTTTGTCTCCCTTGATCCTTATCATGTTCTGCAAGAGAGGAACTTTATAGAGCTCTGTACATTTTCCCACTTACCTTGACACAAAGCACCCAAGTACAGTTTCTACAGTCCTCTCCTTATCACACACAAGCCTACTGTCTCAGTGCTACAGCTTTGGAGCCATTGGAGTCACATGGTACCCCTCTCCTTGGGTATTTATATCTTTTCTTGGGTATTTACAGTCAGAGTCTAACACATTGGAGTCTACCTGACATTACTAGACCGTACAGATTGTTACTAGATTTGGGCTTCAGGCTAGCGGCTAAACTTGCAGACTGATTAAATATATATTCACTCCCATAGGTATAGTCTACTGGGTATTCTTGCACATTCTGCTTGAGATGCTGTTTCAGGTGACTACTAATGTGCATCTGTGCATGTGCAGCCCCACTGTAAGCTCTGTGTGCTCTGACATGTCTGTCTTCTTCTCACATGGGTGGTCTGACTGCCCCAAAATGTCAAAGCTTGATTGTTAGAGAGCTATCATGTCATCTTCAGTTAACTTCTGCTATGATTGTCAGGTCATACAAATCTGGACTTGTCTTCATCAAAAGCCATTTATATTTTTGCCTTCTAATAGATCAAGACAAAGAACAAAGGGATTCTTTTGTCCCATTGGTTTTGCCAGAGTTTCAAACTGATATAATATTCCCCCTGCTACTGCCCCGATCATCTCAATGTTCCATAGAAACCACATGAGCAAGACAGTAGGCTTGTCTGTGCACTAGCAACAACACAGAGGGTGCTTGACTGCAACCTGCCCCACCCCTACGAGCCCCACCCCCAAGCAGGGAAGCCAGGATGGAAGCTGTGTGACACCTACCTCCCCAGCTGACTCTGGAGGTCCCTGATGTACTGGGAGCACTGGGCGTAGAAGTTGCCCTGGGCCTCGATGAAGTCGTTCAGACAGCGGAGGTGATGGGCCTGCACACACGAAGAAACAGTTGATGAGGCAAAAATGTACTGGTTAGACCATCATAGGGCATGCTTTTGCCAAGGGCTCTACTCCAAAAGGTGATCTAAACTCTTAAGACGATCTAGCTCCTAATCCCATACATTAACAATGACATAAAACAGTCTTAGCAGTAACATTGCTTTGCAAATGGGCAGGGCCCTGGACCTCAACAGATGCAGCGCTAAGATCGCTTTGTGGAATTTGCCCTGAACCCAGTTCCACAAAGTGATCTTAGCAGTAAGATGAATGCATGTCTATGTTCAGGTATGGGGTTACCAAAGGCATAGAACTATTCAGGTGCATAAATTAGTTTTCCCCATCCCCAACATTTCAAAGAAAATTTCAAGACAAACTGAACTAACGTCAGGCTGGTTCTGACCTTATGACCAGCTCCCTAAAGACCCAACTGGATAAATAACTGCTAATCCAGGGACCCTGCCATATCACAGCGGTCTTCAGCAGTGTATAGGTGGGTGGGTAGTAGGAGGCTGGACAACACTAAACCATCTGGAGCCTAATGGCAGCTAGGGTTGTATACTCCCCAGGGAGCTGAGAATGTTATTTGAGTGCACTCTGATCCATTGACCAATAATTGTGTAGCTTTGGGGGGATGGATGTGGCACAAAACAAATATTCATATATTATTCACTTACATGGGTGCTGTTGACTCCCTCAAGAAGAATCTTTGTGATCTCTGCTTGCCTGTCGAACTCGGACTGGGCCACACGCAGGTCAGCCTCCGCCTGAAACACACAGAAACGTCGGTCAGCTACCACTACACCAAGGTCGGTCAACTGTCCGTTGATTACTCACATGGACACAGGCTGAAAGGGTTCTTAGTGTGAACTCCCAAAGATAGACACAGTAGGAGTCCAAATGATACTCGGACCAGGAAGGGCAAGGGGCCCATTGCACAAAGCAATCTTAGCGCTAAGATGATCCCATACTTTAACATAGGCTTATGATAGTCATAGCGCTAAGATCGCTTTGTGGACCAGGGCCCAGGACGGTTTCACAAAACAATCTTAGCACTGAGACTGTTGTAAGTCTATGGCATGGTATGGGAATCGCCCATAGCACAACGATCACTTTGTAAAACAGGGATGAGAATATGGGAACAAGGACCACAGATTATAATCAATGTATTGTTGGACAGTCAAAAAGTAGACAATGAAAGAAACAGATAAGACAGGATTTTAGATACTGGACAGAAAGAGAGCAGCTGTAGCCAGTCTTTCATGTACCAAGGCACGGACAAAGTGGGCTGAAGATGAGGAACTATTCAAGTTACAGTCATCCCACATCATATCAGGACATTAGGGACTGAAGCATTTTATACTGTGGAGGGGGTGGCTGGAACTTTTGTTTAGCTCCATGAGATATATATTTTCTCTTTAAGATAAGGAGCCTATATACTCAAAATACATTATTTTTTCAGCTGTCCAGTGAATGTTAATATTCTGTTTTCTTAAATATGACAAAGACAATTCCAGGACTTTTTGGAACAGATTATTCTTCTGAACCCCCACCCCCTCCACCTTAGTATCAATCAGTTATCCTCCTATGCTACCACATAGAGACATGAAGTTCAGCTTGGCAAGACTCTGTATAGGAGCTTCAGAGTTGTCTCCCTTTGACCATCAACAACTAACACATCACAATTCAGGAGTATTCAAGAAAAAGAATGGACAGGGCCTGATAGACTTGTCATGCTTCTCTTGCTGAGATACAATAAGGTGCATGATAGCAGGGAATACATAAAATAAACCTACAGTTTATGTTGCTCACCTGGGGGTTACATTTTAATATTAGACAAATTCATATCACATGTTGATTATTTATGAATGATATAAATTAATATAACCGTAAGCTAAAATCAAGAGTACGAAAACTAACCCAGGCAATTGTCACATTAGCAGATGTTCATAAAAGCCGAATAACAGGCCCGAATTACTTGCTACATCAGAAATTGAATTGTATGATTTATCAAAATGAGATATTGTTGTTGACATGTAATGACTGATCCCGTTTACATACGCTCACAATGATGTTGGTCAGCACATCAGTTTTACAGAAATATCAGCCAACATTAAGCTTTATTATCAAAGCTGAAAATAGCTTATATATCAATTTCATAAGAGACACTTTAGTGTAATCTGTGATAAATATAGATATAGGAATTACAAAAATATAACGTTACTATAGAATACTGAGAATACTGACCAACCCAGAAATGTAACATTTAAGATTTTATTTCCATCCATGAAGCTGTAGCAGCAGACAGTAAAATGTTTACCTCACCAATTATACTACTCAACTTTTGAAAGGGATACTAAGGTATATCATACTGTCACAAAACTTACATCAGCAGCTAAAGGGACTGTTATATATTTGCTCATTATTTGTAATGATGCTGAAAATGAGTCAGTTCCAAGGCAATATTGAATGCTATTTGTATGACAACTTCTCCCAGCAATCAGAAACATTCAGTCCCTGCTTGAACACTCAGAGATCCCTATCAAAGGCTGAGCAGCATATAAGCACAAAACCCTTGTCCATGCGTCAGCATGTTTGTAGTGGCAATTAGCATTCTCCTTTTTCCCTTTCACAGAGTGAGCATGGAAAAACACTGCTTTGAACAGTATTCAGTTATATCACAACATATCAGCTTAATGTGGGAGGAAAGCCTGAAGCGATGCAGGTCTTGGACATTTACCACTATGGTGAAACCCACGAGCAGGGATATGGTGCTGACAAACCAAGATTTCATTCAAAACATACCTGATTGAGAACAACTTTCAATTAAAACAAAATTATTTTGTTCTTGTTTAACAATATATTTCTATGGATGTAGGTTACATGACAAAAAGATGATTATTCATGCTATCTCACATGCTGTATAATTTTTGAAGGGAAATCATTTTGCACTAATATGGGGTTTTCCAGAAACTCATAGCACATAATGAACAATAATGCTTTCAGTTCTTTGATTAAGACAGCTTCCCATAACTCTTAGGGTCAGTGGCTATTGAAAGACACATTGCTTTCTTTTAAACATTACAATTGTGTTGCCTCTTTAGGGTGAGCCTAAGATTATAATAGCAGAAATAAATAAACTGTTTCCGGAAATGTCAGAATAAATAGATGGAGGGTCCTGTATAGACCCCTTGGTGTATCTTGATTTAACTATGAGTAATTCTTCTGGTGACAGCTTGGAAGATTTGAGTTAGAAAAGTTTGCAACTGAAGAATTGCCTTCAGTTAAGTTGATCCAAGCAGGAGAGATATTACATATAAAAAACATTCTTGTCTTCCTACAATAGCCAGACTGGATATTGTGGTTATGCATATACAGAATATTGTAAAACATGACACCCAAACCAGACACCTGGCTAGGATGGGACAAGCAATATCATATAAAGAATGAAAAAGATTTGGTATCATCAAAAATATATGTTACCTTGGTAACAGAATCAGAAGCATGCCCATGTGACGCACATCATAACATAATTATTGATCATTGTTCATGATCTGCTACATCAAACACCAACAAGGAGAATAAGCATGATACTCTACACAGGACAAGACAAAAGTTCTCATAGCCTGGCCAATACATCGTCAACACTGAAATGACTTCTTATGTCTACACAACATCTCAAGAATGTTTCAGGAATGTCTCACGAGTTTCTCAGAAGCCTTACGTTGTCTAACTTTAAGAAAAAAAAGTTTTCTATAGATGTCTTGAGTCTGTAAAGACTGTCTCAAGAGATTTTACATTTGTGTAACACAAGTGTCTTAAATATTGCTTTTGTGTGGAATATGTCAGATGTTTATATAATGTTCATAAAATGTTCATGGAATGCTTCAAAGATGTTTCAAACAGCAAACATCACAAAGGTTGGTCTCAATATGTATTTAACAATTTCTTTTGAATAACTTATTGTATTGACATGAATTTGCATGAAGGTTTATTCCATACCTGTAAAAAGATTCGAAACACGTCTGTTTGAACTTTATCATGTTTATCAAATCATAAAACTATACTGCTCACACCAAGAAATCTGCCATGAGAACTTTTGACATGTCCCCTACAACAGAACAGAAAGTAAGAATGTCAAGGCGACATTGTCACTTACTTTGGCGATGACATCATCCTGGTTAGGCAGAGAGCAAAAAGAAATCATAGCCTGAGACAATTAGTTTGAGGCAATGTGTTACCATGGTTACCAAGGGGATTCCAGGTCACACATTAAGAAAATTAAGCTCGTAAGCTGCAGACAACATACACAATAGGTACAATACTGGCCACAACATTGTCACACTTTTACCTTTTTAAAAAAAAAGCATTTAGTGTTACTCATAATTCATCTTCAAGGTCCCTAGAGATGGAGAAATCCCATTTGAAAGTAAACAGATACTAAGTTGAAACATACTAAGTCTAAATATAATAAACTGAAACATACTTAGTTGAAACATACTAATTCAAATGCAAATTCATTCAATGCACCCCAAAAAGCATGGTCAGTAAGAATATATTGTTGTTTTGCCCGAATTGATAATTGTTTGACAGAGATCGTCAGGCCATCAGGACCATGCAAGTGGGGCCGAGAGAAAAATTGGAGGAAAAATATACGTGAACAGTCAAATTGGGTTAATGAGTGACTATTCAGTTTTGGGGACGGACAGCAATATTTACAACAGTTCTCTCCCTTTCTAACTACACGTTTTATGGGGGCCCATTCTACCAAGTTATCATATGCTAAGACGGTAGTGACTCATATGCTTCAATATGGCCATATGACAGTCATAGCACTAAGTATGCTTTGTGTAATGACCCACATTCCTCTTGCACAAAGCAATCTTAGCGCCAAGGTGTTCGCAACTTCTGCACTTTAAGATTGGCTTAAGATCCGAGCCGTAACTTGCTTTGGGGAAGTGGGGCCTGGATAAAATAAAATCAGAAGACAGAACTGATGTAAAACTGTTGGCTTTCTGGGGCCCAGGACTTCCCAAATAAAGTGCTCCCAAAGCAGGGTCATCAAATAAGCATCCCTACATGAAAGGAATTCATCAAGGCAGTTCAAGCAATAATTATTACCTTATGTGACCAAAATTTATGAGTGAATGTTGTTTAATGCCACAGTCAGCAATATTCCAGCTTCAGGACATGGGCCTGTAGGTAATCAAGTCTGGGCCAGACAAACCAGTAGTTCACACAATGAGCAATGTCCCACACACAATCAACTGTCTCTGCACCTGACCTGAGTGCTTAGGCTGGGACAAGTCACGGTATGATACTATCCAAAAGAGGAGGTCACGCGATGACATGACTCATAATTCAGAAAGAATGACAACTTCATCACATGCTCATGATGAAAGATGAAAGATTAAAGTTAAAATATTTTTTATCCATAGTTAACTTTTGGGTCAGAAATTTAAGTTCTTCGAAATTTGAATGTATGCTGATGCATCCCTACTACTATCTGATCTATCTTACTACAACAAGGCTAAAAAAATCAACTCGTCCGCTCGTATTGACGAGTGGCAGCATTTGCAGGGCAAGAAAGAAGTGAAGAAACTTTTCAATCATAACAATTCATTTCTTATCATTTTCAATCAAATATGCAGGATAATTTCGAACCTAATACTAGTATATGTTTTCATTTCTCGTACGTTTATACTGCATAATAACAAACTAGATGTCGCTTATATCATAAATAGATGGCATACTTGGCAACTATCAGTTGAAAAAATAAACAAAAAGTCCTTTTATGCAGCAGATGTCGAAACTATTTTTAACGAGAGGCACTTACATTTATTATTTTTGTTGTAAGCAACTCATTATTGATTCTAGTGAATGAAGGTAATGGCTGTTATTAATCGGGAATGGTGGGACTGATGAGAAAAAACATGATTTGATCACCAACAGGCCAAAACATGGATTTTTTTAACGAAAAAAACCCAGTACGACTGTAAAAAAATGTTCATGGTTGAAAGAATTTGAATGGGCAAAGATGAATGTAGATGGTAGTGACTGAATTATTTGACTTGTCTGTCGGAAATATCCGCAACACAAAGGTTAATTACAAAAAATAGTAATAATAACTGAGAACACAAAACTGAATAAAATTTTATAGGGCAAGTGAAAATATTGCAAATACTCGTATAAATAGGATACTGGGGATCAGTTGTCTTGAATCCCCATTTGACCAAAGTGGACTGAGGTTGCTGTTCACAACGGGGGCACCAACATTGACTAAACAGGTTTCGTTCAAAAAAATATGTCATCACTAATTAATTTATGTTTCCGCTTTGAACCTTATTTCAGTAGTTTTCACTAGGTCTACGACAATCAGGGGGTTATGTGAATCTGGGTGGGCACCTGTCTGGAATCTGGGGTGACAGTTATAGAAGCAGTCTGCTATGTCATCTATGCATGACCTGCCAATTTCAAGCAGCTGACAAGTTATTCTGGACAGTCACCATGCAGATGTAACAACTCATCTTGAGCTGCCAATGTAACTGTGTCTTGTCTAATACTTAACATTATCAAATCAAACAAAGACAGTGTTCTGGACAATTCAGAGAGGTATAAACTAATAGTAATATAAATAAAACACATACAAAATAATATCAAAAAATGTTTTTGAAATTAGTTGTTGTCTTAGCCATCTTGGCTGGGGTCCAAACTGTTGCATCAACCAACATACATTGACTGTTCTCAGTATTACCAATTGATTGGTATAGTTGATTGAAAAAAACATAATCATATATGATGGGTAAAATAGGAAAGTCATTTGGCAAACAGAAAAAATACCCCTTCACAAAATATAAGGATGTCTTGAAGCAATGAAATAAGGGGAACAAATGTAGGCTTTGGGATCCCAATAATTCCGTACTTACATCATCAGACTGATCAGTTTGCAAGAGAAAAACAAAATTCACTGGAAAACATTTGAAAACTCTCCTAACTCGGTTTAAGTTTGGCCACCCAGTGCATTTTAGCTCCCTGTGACAAGAATAGGTGGCTGGGACTTGCACCAACATGGTTTGGTTTGTTGTTTAACACTGCACTCAGCAATATTCCAGCTAGATGACAGCGGTGTGTAAATAATTGAGTCTAGACCAGACAATCCAGTGATTGACATCATGAGCATCGATCCACGCAATTTGGATTAGATGACATGCATCAACCACGTCAGCAAGCCTGACCACCCGATCCTGTTAGTCGCCTCCTACAACAAGCATAGTCGCCTTTTACGGCAAGCATGGGTTGCTGAAGACCTATTCTACCCCGGATCTTCACGGCACCAACATGGAACCCCAACAATGTAGTTTAAATAATTTCAGCAGATAGATTTGAAAACCACAAATGTATCTAAATGACAGGAAAGTGCCTTGATTGAATAAGGGATATAAAATAGAGAAATGATAAATGTTGAAAAAAGTAATTTCAGATGAGTGGTTATAACATGTAGCGGACCATCTTTAAACATAATAAAGAAGCACATCTGTGTTCAAGGAGGTATTTGAGTTCAACATGGCAAATGTGAAATTTTCAAGGATCATATCTCAATCAGTTAGCATGTTCTCTCATTTGCCTTGCAGATCCATCAAAATTTGTGAAATAAGGTAAAACAAATATTAATAATGCCTATGATTCGTGACAATAAATTTCACTTGTTTAACTTACTTCAAACTCGATCATTCGGGTAAGGGAGACAACTTGTCATTCCCCAAAACATATTTTCACTATGTCCCCTGGAATGCCATACTTTTAAGGGATCATTGGTTTTTTTAAAAAGAGATATTTGTATATAAAAAAAAAAGTTTTAAAAACTAATTCGTATATGAATAAATTAGGAAATATTATATTGTGACATCGAGCATAGTTTCAGTACAAGTCCTTCACCTAAGGAAGCTGACATAGGGAAAGGGGGTGGGATGTGTGGTGTCGGAGTCATTGAGGAGCAGGAACAGAGGGCATGCAGTCATAAATATATCTCTAATCTTGATCATGTTGAACTAGCTAGCAAATGCTAAACCTAGTCAGCAACATTCCAGCTACATCCCACCAGCCAGAAAATAATCTGGTCTGGACCAGGGCCCAGTTCCATAAAGCAATCTGAGCGCTAAGGTGATCGTCACTCCCATACTTCAACATAGGCCAACAATAGTCGTAGCGCTAAGGTGATCGTAACTCCCATATTTTAACAAAGGCTTATAATAGTTGTAGCGCAAAGGTGATCGTCACTCCCATACTTTGACAAAGGCTGACAATATTTATAGCGCTAATATAAGTAATAACCGTAACTCCCATACTTTAACATAGGCTTACAATAGTAGTAGCGCTAAGGTGATCGTCACTCCTATACTTCAACATAGGCCAACAATAGTCGTAGCTAAGGTGATCGTAACTCCTATACTTTAACATAGGCTTACAATAGGTGTAGCGCTAAGATGATCATAACTCCCATACTCTAACATAGGCTTACACTAGTCTTAGCGCTAAGATGATCATAACTCCCATACTTTAACGTAGGCTTAAAACAGTAGCGCTAAGGTGATCATAACTCCCATACTTTAACATAGGCTTACAATAGTCTTAGCGCAAAGATCGCTTAGTTGAACGGGGCCCAGGTACTTCAGTGATTGTATCCACAGGGCAACACTGACACAGGTTTGACAATGTAACCACCCCATCCTCATTTCAGGTCCTGATGACAAGCATGCTATATAGGGGTGCTATTACCCTGGAATCCCATTGGCAGAAATGTTGGAACTTTCTTATTCATGCTTAAATTAGTGATCATTTTCATTTTAAAACTTGTTCAAGAGCTGACATAATGCCATATTCTTTATAGATGAATTATCTTAAAACCATTACTGACAGGCTAATGAAGCAGACACCATAAGTAGATCTTCATTTGAAAACTAATTGTTTATATGAAAATATTTACCATTATATGTTTCATGGCAAACATCACAACAATAATCATGATAATACATAGCTGTTAGTATCTCAGAAACTTGACAAACATATATTTGTATACTACTAACACAGTGACGACTATCATGCTATTGGTGCATTACAAGGGTAGCCTCATTGTGTGGAAACCTGGCAAACTTGACATGATCTTAAATCAACTGAACTGTCCAATGATCTGCAAGTTCTGCATGTTCAATGTTCTTCCACTGAATAAAGTATACCAAAGTGCCAAATTAAGAGAAACTGAGTTTAATCGCATTTACAGCTGTCATGGAAACAGGCCTAGTGAAGGATGGTTGTTCTATGCTGCAGTCAGCAATATTTCAGCTACAGTCTGTGCTCTGTAAATAACTGAATCTGGATCCGGTAAACCAGAGGCTGAAATCATGAGCAACAGTTCATGTCACCAGGGCAACAGGACACACAAACAGCCAAATCACAAAGCCTGAACTTGATGCTGTGGCGCCGATGGTAGCACCGGACAAACCAAAAGCAACAATGCATCTTATCATATATCTTTATATGATGGTGACTGCCTAGAGGTTGTCTATCATGTTGGTCACCATCTGAGTATGATATTCATGAGCCACCATGTGACCACCTAATTCTCGTTTCAGAAAAAATTGAGACCTGTTAGATCTATTAGTTTTTGTAATGTCAACATATTAATTTCATGCATAAGGTTGTTAGCAACATACACACAGGTTACATTTTTCTCAACTTTCATTTACAAAATCAAATTTTGATTTTAATTAACAAAAATATAGACTATTTTTACCTCCAACTACATGTCACATGCACTCATTGTGATTGCCTACAAAACTGGGCCCTGTTCCACAAAGCTCTATGACTTGTAAGTCTATGTTAAAGTATAGGAGCTACGGTTATCCTAGAGCTAAGATCGCCTTGTGGAACAGGCCCTGGCGTATTTGCAACTCTAAAACAAAACAGAAACTGAATTGGCCAAATCAAAGAACTGAGATGTTCTGACTAGGATGAAATGCATGTGTCTCTAGGTTACAAAATAAAGTGCTACGATTGAGAACTAACTTAACGTGTGGCAAACACTACAGGGTTATACCCCGTAGGGCATCCATGCTGTAACTATGACAACACAAAACACGAGAATCTCAGAATTATCAAACCTCAGTCTCAAACGACTGATACGGGTTGGCCTTGTTAGCAAAAGAAAAACAGTTTCAATTTCATGATTTCTTCTCAAAAATGACAGCAGTCTCTAAATCAACAAGGCCCCGTTTCACAAAGAGGCTTTCGTAGCTCCGATGCATTAACATAGACTTACGGTATGATTGCTTTGTGAAACGTGCCCCGGATCAGTTAACAAACACTTGAGACATGGGGCTTCTTAATTGAACTTTTCCTAACAACTATACAAGACATATGTATTTGAGTACATGTACCATCTAATATCAGTGGGCCCATATCATCTATGTGAATCTTCTTCAGTGATTTTAGCAATGTTTTGAGTCACTTTTAGTGATGTTCCCCCTGAATGTCATCCCATCGATTTGATGACTTGATGATTAAGGGTCATGAAAAAAAGGGACAATGTCACAAACACACCTATACATTAGGGGGTAGCTCACAATATGAATCACTCTCCAACCTCAAAATCAGACCTTTAACTCTTTAACCCCTCAGTCATGATGGTGTGAAAATCTGACAACCCTCCACACATCACATGTCACATCAGGTGAACTCTCACTGAACTTTGACCACCTAATCTGATAGTACGTATGGGTTCTCGAGCCAATCAGATGTCAGCTTTCTAAAATGATTCGGCTTCATTACCAAAGAATACTAACACAGAACACAAATATTCCTTCATTGCCATGGCACTCAGAGTGAGTGAGTGTGGTTTTACGCCGCTTTTAGCAATATTCCAGCAATATCACAGCGGGGGACACCAGAAATGAGCTTCACACATTGTACCCATGTCGGGAATCGAATCCGGATCTTTGGCGTGATGAGCGAACGCTTACCCACTAGGCTACCTGACCGCGCCTATATGGCACTCAGAAATGATGTTTAAAATATACACAATAATATGATGGCACAGCTTTTATCAATTACAGTAGGAACTGTTTAAAGCAAAATAAGTTTGACTTGAACTGTGTTTTCAGAAATCTTAACACTGATTGGCTGATTTGAAAGTTCACCTGATGTGACCTCCTATGGAGGTGTTTTCAGAGCTTCACACACAAGGTATTGCATCAACAAAAGATCTGATTTTGATTACATTGAACCCCCTCCTACATGAACTATCAAATGCATCAAAGCAAATGCAGGGAATCAAAACATAAATGTGTGGAACTGGATAGTGTTCCATTTTTTGTTAACATGGTTGAAGACATAATTCCAATTTTGAGTCCACTGACCTTAAACACCATTTCAGGACAAGAATTATCACTGGATAATTTTCTTTTTCTTTTCAAACAATATTATGAAGATTTTGAAAAACAAAATTATGCTTGTCAAAAACAAAACTAGAATGACATGAGTCCACAGATTTTATCAGTATTGCGGATATGACTAAGAGATTTGAGCTTTTCCCGTCTCCAAGATCAGGAACAATATTGAAATATGATGAAAATGGAACAAGAAAAAAAAGCATGAAATACAGCAACTATTTACTTTTTGTATATACGCCATACCCAATAGTATTTTCTTGTTTTAACTGAATTGGAATATCTTTACACCAGAATAGAAATCTTAATTCCATAAGAAAGAAACAGTGGAAGCACATACATGTACAATGACATGCATTTAACTGGAACTGTTGCATATTCATAAATTATGCAAATTTATGCAAATTAGATGATAACTTACATAGGAAGCCTCAGGAGAAGTCTTGTAAATCAAATAATCAATTCAATGAGAGTTAAAAGTTACAATGTAGAATGTATAAATGACATTGGAAGAGCAATAAAATATCAGACTATTTCAGCAATATCACATGCTTACAATTCTGTATGAATATGAAGGAGAGAGGAGATCCAGACAGAGAGAAAGAGAGTTTTTATTACCATATATAAAGAATCTAATCTATGTTGAACAATGTTGTAGAATATACACTTGTCAACAGTATGAAACAGTATTTATTACTGCTAAACACATTACAAGTGAGACAATGTCAGACACATTAGTTCATTAATAGCATACTGCTGAACATGCTATATTGAAGATATATTAGATTTCCGGTGCATACAAAATCTATTATCTCCCCTTGGGAATATGCTCTTCCAGAAAAGACAACAATATGTTTGAAAAATGTAACTACCGTATTCGACGTAATAAGCACCCATGGCAATATTTGCTAATATATTGGCAAGGAAACAATCCCAGTTAGCACCCCTTCCGATTGATCAATATACAAAAGACTGATTTATTCGCATATTTATTTAACCACGAAATTTATTTTTCAACACTGTTTTCTTCACCAAAATAATATTCTAATAAGAGCCCCCTATTTCTAATTTTGAGAGCGCCTTGGATGCTTATTGCGTCAAATACGGTATTATTATTACCAAGATCTGACACAATTAATCACATATATATTGAAGCAAGCAACATGGATGCATAAATACTGAAAGGAATTTAGCCACATGATGCATCAAAGTGTTTGTTTTTGTTTCCTTTTTTCTGACTTCTTGAGTTTCTGTATCAGTTGTGAAGGATGCAGGGAAAACAAACATATATTTGTTCCATTTGTTTCAACAATTTTGGTTAGTCAGTAAATAAATGAAAACAAGTCTTATTTTGACGAAGTCCGTGCTCTCCCATTCCAGCAGGAAGCAAAACACTAGCAAATTTTACCCCCAAAAATATACCCCAGACATGTGTATTAAAAACACGAAAATAAGGTAACATGCAATATGCTGTAATGAATTTAATCACTGATATTGTTTTATTTCCTTCAGGGGATAGAAACCTATAAAACAAATAACAAAACTGGCCTGCCCTAATCCTTATGGACAACATCTTCAGGATTATACATTTTCTGTCAAAGTCAAAACATGGAATCATCAATTGAAACATTCCCTGATACATCATGTGACATGTCACATGACTTGGTCATGTGACAGATATACTCTCACCTGTTGCTGGGCCGTGGTAGACTTGGCTTTCCTCAGTCGACTCTTGCATGCATCAAGGTCAAGACGCTTGTTCTCCAGGAGCTTACGCTCTTTCTATAAAATACACAGTGAGTGAGTAAAACTTGCACAGAAGTCATAGACAGCGAAATATTACAACTATACAGAAGCAGCTATATCAAATGATACAGGATTTCAGACTGGTTCATTTTCCATTTTCCAATCCTACAGATCTACAGAAAGTCAATGGATCCCTTGCAGAACTCGACATGCATATCTCAGACAATAATCCTACAGATTACCAGAACCTCAATGGATCCCTTGCAGAACTCGACATGCAGATCTCAGACAGGAATCCTACAGATCACCAGAACCTCAATGGATCCCTTGCAGAACTCGACATGCAGATCTCAGACAGGAATCCTACAGATCACCAGAACCTCAATGGATCCCTTGCAGAACTCGATCTCAGACAGGAATCCTACAGATCTACAGAACCTCAAAGGATCCCTTGCAGAATTCGACATGCAGATCTCAGACAGGAATCCTACAGATCACCAGAACACCTACAGAGCTCTTACAGTGAATGAGAGTGTGAGTTGGGTTAACCGCTTTAACAGTATTCCAGTTATATCACGGCGTGTCAGCTTAATGTGGGAGGAAAGCCCCAAGTGATGCAGGGCTCAGATGTTTACCACTTCGGTGAAACCCACGAGCACAGGTATGGTGCCGACAAACCCAGAAACATAATCAGGGCGAACAGGAATTCGAACCCACAATCATAGGGTTCTGGCGTGTCCAAGGGACACAACTATGCACAGCAAAGTGCGGCACCTTAGACAACTGGGCCACCCGTGCCCCTAAGAGTGCTTACAGACTCCAGTGGATCTCAGACAGATCTACACAACTCCCACAGAGGTTTGACAGATATTCAGAGATCCTACAGATCTATAGAACATGTACAGAGCTCCTACAGATCTCCACAAGAACTCCTACCATGATGGTCTTCATGTCGCCCTCCAGGAAGTTCTTGAGTGGTGTGAGGAAGTTGTTCACTGTCGACTGGACGTACTCTCTCTCCGCATTGCCAATACGCATCTGAGCCTGGCCAGACTTGATCAAGGCGTTACCTGAGGACAAAAATATGTGACTATCAAGGATACTTTCACTACTGCAATTATATGAAGAAAGAATTGCTCTACCAATGCAGTATATACTCACAACCAAAGATAACCATACATAATTATTTATTCACCCCAAATATATCAACATTTGCACAATAATGAAAAACAAGTGTTGTATGTAAAATTCATTGTTCGTGATTCCAAAATCAAGCAATACCAGAGTACCAGGTAACAGAATTAAAAAAGTGTCAGTTGGAAGGAGCTTATTTGGTAGTGTTTCCACATCCAATAAAGTACTAATACTATAAATCATAGAAAAGAAATGTCACACAATCACTGTTTTCAGTTTTGTTTGTTTGTTGCTTAAAGCCTCACTTTGCAATATTCCAGCTATGTCTGCGGTCCGTAAACAATCGAGTCTGGACCAGACAATCCAGTGATTGATGTCAATCCACACAATTTGGAAACGATGACATGCATCAACCAATTCTACTTTTCCCCTCAACTACCAACAGGTATATTCTTGTAAAAAATCTGTAACACAAGTAAAAACAGTGTGGCCTTACATCATGTACATATTTGTAATGAATATAAATTTACCTTTGCTTAATTTTTACCCGGAGAGAGGAAGGACTGGGGTTCGATCCCCGGCCGCGTCATACCAAAAGCCGTTAAAAGACGGTACTGGTTATGACCCTGCCTGACGCTCGACATTAAGGGGCTAAAACAAGGACTCGTTAGCTCGAGTCAGTATACTGTGTATGAGTGGGGTATTCATGTTAAACTGCGGCATGGTATCTCAGTGGGCTTGCACCATAAATCGGCATCAGTCCGGACTAGTACAAGCACACACACACACGTGCATGCAATAATCTTGGATGTGACGTTAAACCTAATATCACCTCACCTGCAATTTTAGTGTTGATTAGGGTACAACTATCGCTGTTTCATAAGTACATGTACCTTCCCACGATGTCCTTGCATTACTCAACAGGACGGAAACACAAGTCCTAGATTCAGCAGATGGCCAGGAAAGTTATATCACTAATACACAAAAAAATAGATGTAGAATTAGATGTTAATAAATTGTTGGGAGTTTATGGGGTTTGTTTATATATATAAAGTGAGTGAGTATGGTTTAATACTGCTTTGCTTTAAGCAATAGTCCAGCAATATCACGGCGGGGGACACCAGAAATGGGCTTCACACATTGTACCCATGTTGGGAATTGAAACTGAGTCTTCGGCATGACGAGCGAACGCTTTAACCACTAGGCTATCCGACCGCCCCTTTTATATATATATATATATATATATATATACAGAATGCAGTGAATCTTGTTGTCATACCATTGTTGGGAATAGTACAATATGTCCATACACACACTTGCTCAGGGACACATATATACCATTATTTTCATAGTTTTCCAGGAGAGACTTTCTTGTCATTGCATTAGAGCAATTAAAACACAGTTTTGGGTTTTTTTTCATTTCTATACATATATACAACAGAAAATACTTGACTAATTATTGAATAGCAGTAAAGGAATAAAAAAATCAGAAGGAGAATGCATTTCCAGAATATTTCTTTTCTCGCTGCATCGCAAAAGCTTTTCCAACTATTATGCTGAATTGCAAAAACCTCAATCCTGACAAAAATGCCTGTTGTTAAATCCATCAAAACCCGACACTTCACAAGTACCCTTAAACCAATTCCCTCAGCCCTAAAGCTGCAAGCACCAAGCATTTCATTGATCTTATGAAATACTTAGGAAACATGTCCGTATCGATTGTGCAGCCTTTACAGTGAGCCAATTAGCTCATTAAGGACTCTTAACCCAGTTTCATGACTACCCAAAACATTACATCGGTATTTAATTAGACATAAACATCAGTGTGCCCTCACTGTCTGTGATCCCAACCTCCAGTAATTAAGCCTAGAGATAGTTATCTGGGTGAAGCTAACAAGATAGCTTGCTTATGCTTCACGACCACGCATGCTTTGATTACATAAGTAAGCATTATTTTTATTTATTCAGGGGTTTGGGCTCCAAACAATCTATACTGAGTAAGTGATTTAGGTTTAAAGCCCTTTTGATTTCTAAAATGTATTTCAGGTGTATTTTATCAAGAGGAAAACTTATAAAGGTCGTAGGTGTTCTCCACTTTGGTGGACACTTGCAAGCAGTTTATAATGGTACTGACAGATAACCATAGGTGGTGTTAGATAACCCATAGGTGGTGTTAGATAACCCATAGGTGGTGTCAAAAAACTCATAGATGGTGTTAGATAAATCATAGATGGTGTTAGATAGCCAATGGGTGGTGTCAAATAACTCAATGATAATATTGGATAACTCATAGGTGGTGTTTTGCTGTGTCACATAAACAGTGTTAGAAAACCCATAGGTGGTGTCAAATAACTCAATGATAATATTGGATAACTCATAGATGGTGTTAGATAACCCATAGGTGGTGTCAAAAAACTCATAGATGGTGTTAGATAACTCATAGATGGTGTTTTGCTGTGTCACACAGACAGTGTTAGAAAACCCTTTGGTGGTGTTAGATAACCCATAGGTGGTGTCAAAAAACTCATAGATGGTGTTAGATAACACATAGATGGTGTTAGATAGCCAATGGGTGGAGTCAAATAACTCATAGGTGGTGTTAGATAACTCATAGATGGGGTTAGATAGCCAATGGGTGGTGTCAAATAACTCAATGATAATATTTGATAACTCATAGGTGGTGTTTTGCTGTGTCGCATAGACAGTGTTAGAAAACCCATAGGTGGTGTCAAATAACTCAATGATAATATTGGATAACTCATAGATGGTGTTTTGCTGTGTCACACAGATAGTGTTAGAAAACCCATGGGTGGTGTTAACTGATCCTGTACGCAGTTCTATCTTGCTAAAGTAAACAGTCTTACTTCATTACTAAAAATTAATGAATCAATTCACCCAGCATTCATGTGAATTCTAGTTCCTTGTTCCTGTACACAATATGCTACAATGGCTTCAGTCCAGCTGTTGCATCCATATGAATAATGCTGACTTGGGGCCCACACGATGCACACACGATATGACAACTCATTTCAATATGGCTCTTTCTGGAGGGAGGGATGGAGGCAGAGAGAGTCAAGTGAATTTGACTTAAGGCCACTTTGAACAGAATACTTTAAATCATATAAGAGTATGTCTGGGAGGAAAAATAGATGTGATGCTGGTCCTAACATGCCTAAGACACAACCACTTTCGTGGAACTGTATGGTCCTGAAAAACCGAGAAACATAGTCATGCGAATCTGGGATTTGAACACACGAGCATAGGTTTCTGGCATTCCAAGAGAACGCAACTCTGCACAGTGAACCGTGACACCTCAGACGACTGGGCCACCTGACACCCTGGAGTCGTGAGCAATACACTCTTCCTTCACGTATTCTATGTCAGGACCTGTGGTCTGAAAGAGCATGACTGTCCATAGTCAGAGGTGACCTTTTCTGTTTGGGTTTCAGAAGTTGAAAAACCACACATGTATTCCTCTTTCCATGACAGCTCCATCTTTCAGAGTGAGTGAGTGAGTGAGTGAGTGAGTGAGTGAGTGAGTGAGTGAGTGAGTGAGTGAGTGAGTGAGTGAGTGAGTGAGTGAGTGAGTGAGTGAGTGAGTGAGTGAGTATTGTTTACCCCTGCATCAGCTATTGGCGGCAACATCTTAAGGGTTAAATAAACCAAAAGATTCAAAATTAAAGTATCTATTAACTTTTTAAATAACCAATAATGAAATGTATGTAACATAGTCTCTGTACATGTAACAGCTACATAAATTAACAGTTTTTAACAATCATTGAACAGGATTAACAATTGTTTTGGTTCACTAATCCGACTGACCTCAACAACATCCTTACCAATAAACAGAAATTTATTTTTATTTTTATACTGGCTCATAAAATAGCTTATGGCTAGCAAACTTCTCTAAAACTATTAATATAAAAACTTGAATGCAAAAAGATTTATAGTGTTATGTCACTTTTTTTATCAACCATGAGATGAGGGACCTTATGTGTGAAAAATAAAATACAATTCACAAGCTTCAATTCATATTTATAACAGAGATACATGACATCACATATGGCGATCTTCACTGAAGTAAGTTGACGTCAAACGTCTTTATGACATCATAGCACAATTGAATCCTAGCACCCCTAAGGTCCCTTTTCTCCTGGTGGGTCACATTTCTAGAAGATGACAAGTTATGAAGCTCAGTCACAAGTTCCAGCAGTGGAAACTAACACTCCTTGTCCCCTAGGCCTTATTATGATAACATAGAGCAATACTCTCAAAATGTCAAATTTCTACTAGCACTTATGATACCTTTACTATTGGACAGTTTGGCAAGGACTACAGGACTAGTGCCAATTTCTAACCCTGCACAAGCACCTTCTCTTGAGCCATCAAGTGAGTGGATGTTAAATAACGCTGCAGTCATCAACTTCACAGCTGCATCACAGTGGCCTGAATGTAGACAAGTCTAGACCAGGCAAACCACAGGGGTACAGATTAGCACTAGCCCACTAGCCCAAGCCAGTTTCAGTGATGTTTAAGGTATCCTGAAGGCTGTAGAATTTTGAACATATGTTATCACTATTGGGGCTAGTAGACTATTTAGGTTAATTTCTCATGAAACCACTGACTGCGTGAAGCCATTAAGAAATACACAATTCTGTGTCAGGCTATGAAGAAATACACAATTCTGTGTCAGGCTATGAAGAAATACACAATTCTGTTTAGGGACTTAAAGAAATTACATAATACTGTCTAGGGTTGTTAAGAAAAGACACAATTCTGTGTCAGGCTATCAAGAAATACACAATTCTGTGTCAGGCTATGAAGAAATACACAATTCTGTTTAGGGACTTAAAGAAATTACATAATACTGTCTAGGGTTGTTAAGAAAAGACACAATTCTGTGTCAGGCTATGAAGAAATACACAATTCTGTGAAG